CTCGAGGGTTCACGAAGGTACATGAATTTTCTAGAAGCTCATGACGTGTTACTAGCGTCACGTGACTTCCGCTGTCATAACAACGTGAAGGAACAATGCGTTATGGCCCTGTATATCACTAGTTAACAGTGCCATCATGTGTAGACCCAATTTAACGCGTAGTCAAATTCCCACAGCATGTTGAGTTTATACTCTGTAGGTTATGACTATGTTGCTTCTTATTTAGGAGGCCATAACGCATTAATTCAATGCGTAGTGAACATTTCGATTTTCATCGTGTGATTAAAACTGCGTTATGATTGGCTTATTTGGTTAAGCTTTGGATCATCGTGTTATGGCCTTGATGACTTAGCATATCTGTACATTTTATAAAGCGTTTTCACTTTTCTCTTTGTATAATTATTTTCTCTTATGCTGTTTTAAAGACATTTCATTTTATAGCGTTAACTTATTTTCAGTATTAATTTCATTTTACACACATACAAAAGTTTTATTCAAATTATTTTTAATTTTCTGGTAAGTTTTCCGCCCTTGTTGTTAAAGGTTTGTGAAATAGTTGAAGACCCACAAAATATTTTTCGTTTTTATTAACTTGTCATTAGAAACTCTCATTCTTCGTTTTGCCTTCAAATTTTTACATATTGGACTTTGAACTGGATTTTTTTGTGGTTGGCAATGGACATTTTGAGAAAAAAAATTTACTAAAGAAAATATACTTTTTAAGAACTATAATTTTTAATCTGATTTTCTCTTCGCCAGGTGTCGAGGTGTTCGTGTAGTGCTGTGTTAGTCTTAAGCGTGGTTAGTTCTAAATGTTTTAAGACTTATTTAAATTTTAAAATTAAACTGTGACAAGAAGAAAAGTGAATTTTCATTAGTATTGAAATATTTTGATCAGCTATTAAAATGGTAAGTTACTCACTTAAATATAAATAAATACCACTGTGTGAAATAATCTAAAAGTAAAATAAACTTAAGATTCACAAAAACAGTATACTATATATTAGTTAATTTATAGTTATACTAGTAGTACTACTACTCACTGTACTCAGTAATAGTATAGTGGATCTTAAGTTATACGTATGTTTATACAAATTCCATGTATTACTTATGTATAATTATAACATTTAACATAAATTTACACGATTGGTATTAATACTAACTTATTGATAATGATAGACTTTTCTTGATCAGTCTTAATCAACAACTACACGATTTTTTCACACACCATGTACTGTACTCATTGCTCCTAATTATACTGATGGACTGACATCTAAATATTATTGTTACTATTAGTTAAAGCTACTGATTGGATTCTTAAGGTCATTGTGAACTTTTTAGGATTATAAACACGCTTGATCTTAACACCCTCTAGGTAACATCTAAATTAAAACATTGAAAATGTGTCTTAGAACAATGTATTAAATGCTTTGCATTATGATTTCAAAATTAAAATTGAAAACCACTGAATCAGTATAATTTTTGTTTCACCATGAGAAGGTAAATAATGAAATTGGTTTCTCATAATCAGACATCCACGTACAGTAGTGTGTGCAACAAATTAGATCTTTCAGTGGTAGTGACTGTACATGATAGCTGTAGACCTGCTGTTCAAATGTCTATGGGTTATTTATATATATATATATATATATGTGTGTGTGTGTGTGTGTGTGTACAATAAACACACATGTGCATAGTTTCACCATGATTGCTCACTTATCAAAAGTATTTGCATTTCACAGCATTTAGTAGGGCTTCATGATGTAAAAGGCAAAGGTGTTAGTTTTAATATCCAAGGTTCAAGAGTTTGAACCTAACCTCCAACAATTGATTGTCTTACCTTGAGTAATCTTATCTTACATGTGTTTATTTGTGAATTTAAGTTTTATGTGAAAATTAATTTGCTTTTTTTATATGAAATTGGTTTGGTTAGTATGTTGCAAGTAAGAATAAGGAATATTCCAAAATGGTAATGTATATAGTCCAAACTTGAAAGTGCTTTCACAATGTCATGTAGTTATTTTAAATTTACTATAAATAGAACAAGCATTTTGGTATTTTTCAAAGAACCATATACATAATGGCCACATTTATACCCTCTTATAACTTGTCATGATCATATACAATAGTTTGAACAGTGTACTTATGCAACTAAGTAACTTCAAACTACCAGTATGTAAAATTTCAAAATGGCTGTTAATGTAGTCACACTAAAGATTGAGTGAATGTTAGTTGTATATTTGTTTTTATTTGACTATGTACATGACAGTATGTGTTGATCAATTTTGAAATAAACTAAATATTTCCCTTGACCAAACAGACAAAAGCAGTGAAAAAATGCTTTTTGTACAAAGCAACTAAATAGCATACTGACAAAAAGGAACCATTTTGGTTCTGCAAGACTGTTCCTATACACCTACCCCTGAGAAAAAGTAAAAATTTAAACCCATAATTTACTTTTCAGGAAATCATTGATTCCCCCTCTTAAGCTCTTGTAAGATAGAAGCACCCAGTCCAGCAAAGTGCAACTCATTCCATAAGCTAATCACCCTGTTAGAGAAAGTGAAACTCTTTTAATTGAGGCTTAGCCTATCTATTCCAAATCTTATGTTTTTAAATATATTCTAAAATTCTATTAGCTTTTTTACTTCTAGCAACAGAGTGCAAAATGTTGAGTAACTTGTCTACTGGTATGCCAAAGAGATACAACTTTTTGCAGTATATAGGAGTCATCTTCAGCTAAAACACATTTGCTTTTCTAAGAGGGTGGTCGGCCTTTGGAATGGGTTGTCTTCTGGCATGGTAGATACAGTAAGTCTAAAAGAGTTTAAGGGAAGGCTTGTAAGTGCTATCTGTGATGACTGTGGCACAACATTAGTAGGTCTAGTTTGAGTGGTCTCTTTTTTTTCTGCTTTTTCACCCAACAGTTCTGCATTCCAATTAACTAATAGTTCAATGATTCATAGTAATATGATTTCTAAGCTAATCATCTATGATCTGTGTGTCACCTTATAAAAACATTAGGCTTGTCTAAGGCAGCATTGATCTGTTTCAGTTTCTGTAACATTTGAATTAAATACTTCTTTAACACCAGTTATTTTCATAATATGCATGTAAATATGACCTTGATGCATGGTGTATATTTTAAAGAATCTTCTAAAAAATAAAATAATTTTTGTCACAAAAATGACCTACTTTTCAATGCTTGTAACTTTTAAAGTATTTTTCACATATTTAACTAATACATTGTTTGCATAAGACATAGCGTAATGTATCACATTGGGTCAATTGGTAAGTGGGACAAACCACAGAATGATTGTCCCTGTAATTGCCTGTGGTTTCATATCTTTTGAACTTTGGGTGGTCTACTTCTGTCATATCCTGTTGAATTGAAATATGAACATAAAGCCAAAATCTGATTTGAATGCATGGTATGCACAATGGAATTTAAGGATATAAATATATATGGTGTGTGTCTCTTACTGCAGACAATCATGCAGTCTTGTATGTGTTGCTTTTAACTTCTTTTAATAAGAATAGTACTGTGATGTTAAAAAAAGCAAGCTATTTGATTGTTCTAAATGCTTGTTTCTTTTTATAACAACAATTTCAGTATAGAACACAAAATTTCTTTTGTTAATTCAGATGATTTTCATAAATAGCTTTTGAAAAAAAATGCCCATAGTGCTTTAAGTAAGTACTGTAGCAGTTTATTAGGAGTCACATTTGTTAATTTTTTTGATCCAGTTGAAGCAATGTATCAATGTTGTTGTCGAAATGTGATTTGGATATTTTTTATAAACTACTCGATCAGTATATTTCTGAGAAGTTGTAACAGTTGTTACTTTTTCTATAATTCTCACAGCCTAAAGCAAAAAAGATTAAGTTTGCTCATATGAAGAGGATGATAAATCTTCGAGACACAAGAATGTAAGTAGCAGCTTGGGCTAAAGATATTGGTGCTCATACTTATGTCCTCAGTTTCAGATGAATTCAAACTTGTGATTAATTCAACATGTATTTATTTAATAATTTGTTTGCTTCTAAATTCAACCTTTGCTCATAATTAAAATATTTTGAATACTTTTGTTGTTAATTGTAATTTAATGTTTTAAAAATAACTTATTAAAATTAAGGTTCTTCTAAACTTATTATCAAGTTGACACAGATGTGAAAAT